GTGATGACTTCCCGACGTTGTATTTATATTTCGCAACACGTTTCAAGTGGAATACTTCACGTTTTAAATTTTAGAATTTTGGTTCATTGATATCTGCCTGCCTTTGACGTTGAGTACAGTGTTTCAGAAGTTTTGATTTACCTAACCAGTTACAAGAATCGCTTGGAAGCATAATGTCGTCAGAGAAAGGTAATAACTTAAAAAATGCTTTTTGAGGAAGATCATTCACATAAATGAAAACAAGAGTTCCTAGTACTGAATTATAAGGGATAGTACTTGATCCATTCTCATCGTGCCTAAAGCATGGAGACCCAGTCATAATTTAAGGGACTAAAGATTAAATCGAGGACTATCTACCTCATTACGTTCAGGCCTTTGATAAACGTTCCGGCAGTTTATAAAAATCCACAGAAATTCCAATCACTACAGTTTTGTAGTGAATTGTAAACTCTACAGTATAATCGTGGTGATGTGTATCTTTATCCTTGTGTTAAATTAAGTAGCAAGTCAAAGAACCAGGTTAGCTGATTGAAGTATGACTTTTGGTCTAACGACACTCTTGGTTTATTTTCTCTGAACTCGTTCTGGGAGATTTTTAACCCTACTGGAACTGAGAGAGATAACGGGGAAAATTATCACAACTGAGATTTTAGGTGATCGTCCGAAGATTATTACATCATGCAGCAATTACGAGGTTAGTGCACCAATACGATTCATGGTTGGGAGTAGATAGATGTGCCTTACTGTATAGGTATCATTACTAAGGTTTGCTTTGATGATCTCGAATAAATTGAGCATTGGGTAAATTGTTATAAATAAATAACGTATTTGTAATATCCCAATGAGTAGAAAATCTATGTGCCTCACTGTATGTTCAACAATGTGACGTATATTCAGGGTTTGACAACGCTTTTGCCTGTTGTGCCGTTATAATCGAAGGGGAGCAAACCAGTCAGATCAAAATTCTGTGGTGAATAGGTTAAAAGACATATTTTTAAGGTTTTCAGTCTGTTGAGCAGCGTTTGATTCAAGCTGGCTAGTAGCTGAATGGGATGTGTTGCACGGCATGCTCAATCATGACCTGGTGTGGATGGGTGACCGAGCGCCTTCAGATAGGGTGTGCCCAGTAAAAAAAATAATGTCAGCATCAATGTCGAGGACCTACACAACTATTCATACTAGGTATTTATTAGCCGCTACCGATTCAACTATTTGTGCATATCAGCATTGTCGTTCATTTAGCAACGAAATAAGGAAATTAAATCTTATAGTCAAATCTTTTATTTCAAGGCTGTCAAACAAAAGTTTATAATCAAGTCGTTGGTTAAATTTATGCAGTATTTATTAAATGGCCAATAGGTGAAAGCTAAAATGACCGCTACAAACGACCTTTCGGCGTTACTGTGATTAAGCCGTCGTATGCGTGTTTGCACATATCATGTCGACAAAATATGATAGGGCGATTACCATCTTCTCTCCGGACGGTCATCTTTTTCAAGTAGAATATGCACAAGAGGCAGTCAAGAAAGGTTCAACTGCAGTAAGTATATTATTTAAGTTTCCTAGTCTTTAGATTGGTGTTAGAGGGAAAAACTGTGTTGTTCTGTGTGTCGAAAAAAAGGCAACAACTAAGTTACAAAATGATAGAACTGTCAGGAAAATAGCTCTTTTGGATGATCACGTCGCAGTTGCCTTTGCAGGTAAACAATTCTATTTACTAATTGCGTCGTAGGGCTCACTGCGGACGCTCGTATTTTGATCAGTCGGATTAGGGTAGAATGTAAAAGCTATAAACTTACTGTCGAAGATCCTGTGTCTCTGGAATATATTGCTAGGTATATGGCTCAGTTGAAGCAGAAGTACACTCAAAGTAACGGTCGTCGCCCTTTCGGTGTGTCGACATTAATATGTGGATTTAATCAAGACGGCACTCCCCATCTTTACCAGACGGACCCTTCTGGGACTCACTTTGAATGGCTGGTAGGATATAATCAACTTAAGTTCACTTTAAGGCTAATGCTATCGGAAAAAATGCAAAAGTCGCACGTGAATTTTTAGAGAAAAACTATACCGAAGACGCTGTTGCAGATGAATATGGAACTGTCAAACTTGCAGTTAAAGCACTGATGGAGGTAGTTCAATCAGGCGCTAAATACATGGAATTAGCTGTAATGAGGTGGAAAGCACCATCTAAGCCTGGAGAACCATTTGTAGATTGGCAGGTATGTTAACAATATCGTGATTTTAAACAAACTATCGATTTTTGGGAAGTTACAATAGAAAATTTTGGGAAAGTGCTACAAATACCCCAAAATTTCTCCGGACTGTAGGGAAAATTACTACTTTTCATATGACTTCGGGAAGAAAACCTGTTTTTTTTTCAAAAAATTGAGAGATTGGGAAGAATGTTTTCAATTTAGTTTGTTTTCCAGTGTAAATTTTCTTACTTCACTTACCCTCAAATGTGCATATTTGACTTTCATTCACAGTTCTAACTATCATGAAGGTTGTATTCAAAAATTTTCGCACTTTATATCTAGCACAGAAATACTACATTAAACTAAGTAACTTATTATGGGTTGGGGGTTGATACTTTTCAAATGTTTTGGGATATCACCTTCAAAACGTTAATAAGCAGAGCATCACAAGCGCTTTGGCGTATCTAATATCAGGCCTCTGTTAAATATCTTAATGTCGGCTCATCCATGTTCTTAGGAAATTTTTGTAATCCAGTGCTTTTTTTGTGAAATTACAGTGCATAGATTAGCTTTCATTTCTGTAGTGATGTCGACTTCTACTTATGAGTACCATAGTGACTAATAAATCAAGTACTGGAACTTTAAGACATTTCATCTGTGTTTACTCCTGTTATATGCTCTATGTTTTTAGAAACGGTGATAATAGATATTCATGAATGTCAATCCTATCTATAATTATTAAAAAAACTCGTTACATAAAGGGAGTTGAAAAGAACCGTAAGCTAAGTAAAAAAATCCGGTATCTTTTTTTCGATTGCTTTCAACTAAAATGGATTCTTATATGCATATGAATAATTGTTTTAGGGGAGTCAAACCAAAACTTGTCACTGGTCCATGACATCAATAATTGTTGGCCTGTGGTATGTTAGCAGACAGTATCTGGTAGTCTTCGCTTTCAGTGATAAGGGATATTGGGTGACAGTTCAAAATCCGACACTGGCTCAAATGCATCTATTCTTCACCTCCTTTTATATAATGAGTTCTAGTGTTCCTTTACGTATACCTTCTTACTATATTCTCACCATATAGTCTTTCCCATTATCATTGTTACTACACTATGTCTACTCCCTTACTAATCTTGTTAATATCGACTGGTCGCACTCTAGTATCCCAACACATTTGTTCCAGGCTCTAATTTGTTCATTACTGACTGACTAATCATTTAAATGACTTTTACCATTGGTTATTTTGATTAATGAAAAATCCTGATAACTATAGGAAAATAGTCTTAATGTATGCATTTTATTATAGTTTTCGTAGTTATTTGTCGTCTAGTTTTAAATCGCAAACAAATTCAAGAAACTAACGGGTTCAGCAAAAGTTGAAAGCACATCTGTCAAATTTTCACTCCACTAAACTACCTCCCGACATCATATAAGGAAAGGCAGTATGCCTGAAAGCATTGGCTACGTAACCTTTGGGCACAAATACTGGAGATAAATGGGTTTATAGATTTACAAAGCTATCGGATGAAGTGATGTGTCATATGTATTATTATGTCAGCGAAGTTACAGGTAGGGCTTAAACGTTTGAGGATTTAATACCAGATAAAATAGAATCCAACATATTTTCTGAATTATTCTGAAACGTGTTGATTTCATAATTAGCATCCAACTACCGGTCAAAATTACTTTGGGAGTGTAATGTAGTATAATTAACAATCAGTGATTGTTCTTATTACTGATTAGCCTATTCGTAATGGTGGGTGTATTTTTAGTCTTCCATGTCGATCCTTTCATTGTTTTTGTTTCTACCAATATAGTCGTTCGTATTATCTTTATTCTTTTTGTCTACTCCCAATATCCACTTTCTTCAAAGCTTGACGGCCTAATTTAGTACTTTTATGTGTCAGGTCCCATGTTTTTTATATATTATTCGTAGGCTATAGGTATTTCTCAATCTCTAAACTAATCTACTTATCATTGGACTACTTATCTTATCCTGAGACTTTTTGATTTTATCCATTTCTAAATAATTAATCTGTGAATTTGTTTTGTAGTGGTGTTATTATGCTTTAAATCAGGTCATTTATATGGTTTATGCTGTCTTGTCCATAATAGTCTCTTTGATCACTGTTAATTTGATTGGTCAACAAATGTTTGGCATTTGGGACAATCGAATTGTTGTTTTCGTAGGCTAATGTAGCCTCGAAATGCAGTGAAGGTTTTGTTGGATTTTATTCGTTAGTAAACAGACATAGTTTGTTAACAGAAATTTATAATTTTAATTCTGAAGGATTACTTATCAATCCAACTAAATATCTTTGCAATCTTATCTGTAATAAACCTAATGTATTTAGACAGCTTTATACAGACAGCTGACTAAACAAATGAAATGTTCACAATGAGTAGTCTTGTAAATTACAAAACATCCACACGAATTTGTTCTTTCGTCAACAATGTACAGGTTGTTTACTTATTGTTTTTTATTATGTGGTTGAATGAGTGTACAGTGCGTTAACATATACATATCAAGTTATGATACATGCTTTTTTCATCTTCTAGATGCTCGAACTTGCTGATATCCAAAAGTATGTTCAGGCTATCGAAAAGGAGAGAGAAGAGGAAGCTGAAAAGAAGCGTCAGAAAAAGGAAGCAGCTGCAGCATTGTAACATAGATAGTTATTGTGTTAAGGTGTACAATTCTGGTTCTCATGTTTTATACATATATAACTAAATTTGTTTGATTTTGTTATAAAATATGGAATGAAGTTGTTGAATGTTTTTGGGGGATATTAGGTGTTTAACAGTCATTCGTTTCGTCGCTTACGTTTCCATCAATTGCATTACCCTCATATGTAGGCGTGTCTAAGGCGTCGTTTTCAATCGTGATCTTATCTGAAGTGTGCTTATCATATTCAGTTGAGGTTAAGTTTAGCGTCTTGTAAATTTTCTCCAAAATTTCGTGATCCAAATATCGGAAAATAATGTTATCTCCAATTCGCTCTTTCATTTCATTGAGACATGTCAATGCCTGAAAACAAATAAATTTTTTAGATTATCCTGTATACTTCATATCAATCAAAAATCCTACGTAAAAGTAGTTTTTCCACAATTTATTAATAAGTTCAAGCCTAAATATCAAGAATGAACAAATAAGAGCCTGTAAACGATACAATGTATTTATGAAAAATCTGTATGTTCCATACAGTCGCTATTACTACTTTTACAAAATTGTGGTTTATTATTAACGTCATTTTCGATTTCATAATACGTTGCAACTTTGCCAAATAACGGAACTTGTGCTAGGTCATAACTTATTTTACAATTAGCTGATGCTATCCGGAGTTCGAGTAATTAACATATATTCTCGATAAAATCTTTTCCATCATACAGAAAGTGTATGTAACGAAACTGTTCCTGCATATTACTAGTCCTAACTCAGAGTGAATGTTAGCAAGTGGGTCAATCGAGGGAAAAAGATCTTGAAATTATTCTGACGTTTACTAAGTTGAATCGAATGAGGCTACATCCATTTGTTGCTTTCTTCAGCTTTTGGATTTCGAACCGGTAGTTCTGACGGTAAATGTTTATAAATGATAAATAAGCTCTTCTACCTTGTCTGAGTCGATTAATATTCGCTCCAACAGTGTCTAAAAATGTTCAAGTAGTCCTTTTAAGGTGTAAGAATCCTAATTGTTTGAAAGAAGACAGAATATCGATAATCCCATACCAACACAGGCTTAACAAAAGATGTGACGTCATACTTAGTGGCTACTGATGTAGACATAAATTATTTTTGTATACGTTGTTTCTCTGAGCTTTAGTCAAAAATTGATATGAGCGACTATGATCACATCTTATTGGTAGTAGGATTCATACAACTGAATAAACTGTATCCAAGGCTTAAATGCTATCCTCAGATTCCCAAAAGGTAATGGTGTTGCTAAATGTTCTTGAGGTTTAAACTAAGGATTGAAGGCCCGAGATTTCTGTGGTGGTAAGTAATTTTAGTTAGAGACGTTCACTTTTCCTCTTCCATTTCTGTGAAAAGTACAAGTGAACCAATCATAGTATAAAAATCCTTGTTACTCAATGGGTTTGAGTGCTAATGCTATCAGATTTATTGTCTGAATACCGTTTCATCTATCAAGTGAATCTTATTGTTCGTTCATGAGTCATTCAAGAAAAGCGAGTTTTCAATATTAAATTGAGTCTGTTTTTAGGAAAATTTTCATAAGGGAAAATATCGGTTGTAATAAAAGAGTGAGTATTATTGTTTGAGTGTCTCACTCAAATATTATTCGTAATTATCACTGTACTTGATAAAATTACTCATAAATATTCAAATTCTAATCATGGGGATTATTAAACTCAATCAGAATATTGAATTACGCCGAAATATTGGATATAATACACAAATCAATCGAAAATGCCTTGATTTACACTGTCTAGGTTAGATGATGACGTATATTATGATATAACATTTAAGCACTAAATATATCAATAAACTTAGAAATTATTTTAGTGTTATATAGTGATATTTTTTAGCAGGGAAACAATTAGTATTGATAATGTTGATTCCTCTTTAGAATTTATCAGTAATAGGATTGACTTACAGCTTTATACTTCTCTTCCATTACTAATCCACGTATTATTAAAGAATAAATATCTCCAGGTCTCAATATATCATCTTGCCCAATATTTTCTAAAAGTGTATAACATCTTTGCATTGCATCTATTGGGTTTGTAGAAAACAACCTATTCATTTGAACGAAAAGCGCAAATATTTTATTAGTAAATGGGGGATGAGTTACTCATATTTCATTCGTTTAACAATAAGAGTACACAATTGTATTGGTAAAAGTTTATATTGTGATCAAAGATGACTACTTTTATTCCACGGACAAATCAAGTTGTTTCGCCTTACTGAAAATACTTTTAAAAAATTCGTGATTTTTGTAAATAACATTGATTTCTCTTTACTTTATTATGCGGCTAATTCGATTTCCAAATGTAAGACGTCCAGTTGTGCTCATCGAGTTCTGTCTGTCTTAAGTTGGACTATACTAGTAATCCTTAATTAGCACGTCATTCCAACTACTGATTATCATAAATTTGTATATCAATCTCTGGTAAATTACTAAGGAAATTAGTCGATTGTCTCATGCCGAGAATCCACTGCATTTGAAAAAGTGAACTTTCAGATTCCAACCGAACGGGCTAGAATTCATGTTCTCATTACAAAATTTGAAGTTCTTGGGTTAAATTCCGCGTGAAGTCATAGAGAGTCGCGAACTAAGAAGAAACGGTTTTTCCTAGTTTCTTCTGTTTTTTTTGTTGTTGTTGAGGGAATGACGTACTGCACTGTGCGAAAACAATCATTAATAAGAAAAATGATTAACTGAATAAAATAACTAATGTACCTTTCAATGCAAAACGTTAAAATAAATAATTCAGGTTTATTATATTATTCTGGATCAGCACACGTATATGTTACGACCATTTATTTGAGTTTAAATTGGATTTCTAGCAGAGCATAAGCTAGAAATATACACAAATAGGTCTGTGGATGGAGTCATGGATGTACTAGAGTAAAATTTTCCGTTTCCGAAAATAATACTGTGCGACAGAATCTCTTCAAGGATTTAACTATACTTTTAGATTTACATTTTAATGTTTGACTCAGAAATAGCCGAACGCACTGATGATTTTACAATCCTATTGAAGGAAATCACTTTCGAGTAACATCAGTCTACTTACATTGCAACTCAGTCTGTGTTTAATAGTGGTCTCGATTTTTATTATCGGTGAAATAATGGATAGGGTGCTGATAGACAAATGCTCTAAAATGAGACAATACGGGCAATCGGTGGTTCCTTGTTAAACAGAATTGACAAACTTTCTGTACATATGGATCATTAATTGAAAGATAAAATCTTGAATAATGAGATATGCAATTACAGTAGTACTATACTTATTTATCTTGTCAACCACTTCCCTATAGAGGTATACGTGGATAAAAAGTATAGTAACATGTAGTTTATCAATCACTAAACATTCAGTAAGATTATGACTATAGAATAATCCACCTCCTATTTGATGTAACAAAATATCAGCACTACAATGAAGTTTAACAACTGGTGGTGATAATCAACCTACTTCTGAATTTCTATAAACTCGCTGCATAATATTGTCTTCTTTATTATTTGAGTTAGACGTTTCTTAAGATGACATTCATTTGTTTGATTATTATCATCATTTGTAGTTGAACTTGATAATTTAACTAAGACTTTATATGCTTCAGTTAATGCATCCAATGCTTTTTCATAATTGCCAGATTCTTCGATTTTACTCTGTTGTTAGTAAGTATAAACAAAACCATGTACAATTACGTTTAATGTGCTACTGATTTAAACTGATATCAATACAAATTTGACCGCAATTCCATAAATTTATTATGAAAATTAACGTTTACTAAAGTGGATAACTTATTCATAAATTTTCAAAAACTAGTCAGTTAGTCAATCAAACGCAGCATAGAACCTGGCACACGAGCATATCGGTTCAAGTTACCACGAGATGAAATTGTTAGGCCGAATCCAGGAGTAGTAGAATTAGTAACAGCTTTAATGGTAATAGAAAAGATTAGGTATTCAAGATAAAATTCGGGAAAATGTAAATTTGTGAAGTGATCAAAAGAATTTGTGTAGAATTTAGGGATCTAAGAGAAGGCAGATGCGCCTGGGCCATTATAAACAACTTTTTTAACGATTTTGAAAACATCACTCTCTTTATATGAAATAAATAAATCTTCAACTGAACTTTAAATTGTGAAACCTATATTCATCTACAAATTCAAATCAGTGTTATGGAGTAGAGAGTACTTCATACATTTTATTCCTTTAAATTTTCAAATTATTGATACACAAATAATGGTTACCTTAATAATTAAGTATTTCCAACTTTCTTTTATTCTGTAACTACCCACCTGAAACAACATACTAGTAGCATTAAGTATCAAAATCTTAAACCGAACCTATGCATTCAGAGATCAGACAATCGTCAACTTATCACTGATCTAATAAACTGATATTATTCGCTTTAATACTGCTCAGTTAGTATTATCAAGTGCAAGTTCCTGTCAGTTTTGGAAACTTCATATTTCGAAAGTGCAAAGTATATGCAGTGTTTACTGACAGTGATTGTCAACGGATGTAGTGAAATTTGGTTAGTTTGTGTATTATCAAACACTAAAACCATATCATCAATATACTGAAGGTCAAAAAGTTGTACTCCGAGAAAAATATGCAGACCGCCACTTCATTAATACGAAGCTGTTTCCAGGATGTTATCAATGGAAAATTTGAAGAAAAATTCAGATTAATTCCACTGCTGGATTGAAATAGTAGAGAGAGGTGGTTATGCGTCTTCAGTCTACCATATCATATGACCAAGTATAAAATGATAATATAGTTCGATGAATATTACATGGTATTAAATCTTGTTTGAATAAAGGACACTCATATATAAATTGGATAAGATTGTATTCAATCATAATATTCGAATGAAATATTAATTATCACAAAACGAAGTTATGAATTGAATTGACGAATTCAAGTTCTATAAATCTTATTTGCTTGGCACAGATTTCTACTATTTCATATAGTAGACTATAAATATTATAATTTTTGAGGATAAATACTCAACCTACACTAATTTACAACCATGTTCATAATAATATAATTACATAGATACTGTTAACAATTTGTTCTTAAGCCATTAGTGCAAAAATAATTTTCCAAGTTTTATTTTCATATAAAGACATTTATAAATTTCTCACCAATTGTTTCAGAAAGCATGAATGCATATCACAATTTGCAAACAGGTATCATTGTGTTGATAGCATACAATTCTTTTGTAATAGAGAACAAGTAGATACATTTCAGAAAATTCTTTCAACATCTAATGCACCTTTTAATTATTCGATATTAATAATCTATTACAATGAAACGAATCTGTAGTGAACAAGAACACAACTGTGGACAACCGAACATCTTACTAAATTTGAGAGCCAAACATTAAATCTTTAATTTGTGAAATATCAATCCATTGTCTCAAACTTGACTTTTCCTTCTGTAAATATCAGTCCATTGCCTTAGATTTCATTGTTCATACATTTTCATACCCATTAGTTCTCCTTCCCTTTCTTTCCTTTTCCATCTTCTACTGAAATACATTCTATTTCTGACTATCGTTATATACTACTTATGTAGATATGAGTAGCTCACACCACAAATCTAGAAATCAGGAGCTGGTTCACAATCATATATATATATATATATTCATTAGTTGATATTGATAGTTAGCATATCTTAAACATGGTCTATCAAGGTGCCTGTTACCTGTGTGGCTTCACCATAGGATTGAGCTATGTTATTCAGATTGTAACGTAAGAACCTATTTAATGTCTGATTCTCCTGTGAAGCAGGATTGAGCTGTACTGTCCGTGTTATAAAGTTTAAGCCTGAATAGTGTCTGACTCTCCTGTAAAACAGGATTAATCTGTACTGTTTGGGTTATCACGTTACTTACTTACTTACGCCTGTTACTCCTCGTGAAGGAGGATAGGCCGCTCACCAGCATTCTCCATCTAACCCTGTCCTGGGTAATCTTTTCCAGCTCTTTCTAGTTCCTATTGATCCTTTTCATATCTACTTCTATTTCCCGACCTAATTTGTTCTTTGGCCTTCCTCTTTTCCGCTTCCCTTCAGGACTCCAAGTTAGGGCTTTGAAGATTTGCGTAATATATGTCCTATCCATTTCCATCGTCTTTTCCTAATTTCCTCTTCAGTTGGAAGCTGGTTTGTTCTCACCCACAGAAGGCTGTTGCTGATGGTATCCGGCCAACAACGGACATTGAGTATCTTGCGTAGACAACTACTTATAAATACCTGTACCTTCTTTATGATGGTTGTAGTAGTTCTCCAAGTTTCAGCTCAATACAGTAGAACTGCCTTGACGTTGGTATTGAAGATTCTCACTTTGATATTAGTTGACAGTTGTTTGGAGTTCCATATGTTCTTCAACTGTAGGAATGCGACCTTTGCTTTGCCAATCCTCACCCTTACGTCTGCATCTGAACCTCCTTGTTCATCGATGATGCTTCCCAGGTATGTGAAGGATTCTACATCTCCCAGAGTTACGCCATGTGAAAGTCTATAAATGGTATCTGGTTCTCCTGTAAACCAATGTAAAATTACCCTGACTCACAATTGTATTTAACCATTATATAACTTATCCTAAACAAAACTATTATTAAATAATCTAACTTATTGTTATTATTATTATTATTATTATTATTATACAATTGATATCAACCGAGAAAAAAAATAAATACAACAATTTAATGTAATTAAATAAAATTATATAAACATACATGAGCGCATATTTCATAAAATGTAATTAATGATTCCATTGCTTGTCCACGTATATAAAATTGTATAATATTACGTATTATATTTATATTTTTATGCCAATTATTTATTGTTCGCAAATAATTTGCTGTTATAATATAAATTTCTTTTTGTTTACTAATATTAGTAAAAATATAATTTTCTCTATATCACCTGATTTAATTAATGATTTAATAGCTAATATATTATTACCAGCTTGAGTGAATTTTTTACATGCTAAATAATAATATTCATTTATTAAACATAATTCACCTAATTTTATAAATATATTTGATAGATCATGATTAGATAAATGATTGGTTATTGGTGTAAGTTTTTCAATTAGATCTTCTGTAATTGGAATATCATATTCATTACATAATTGAATGGCTTCCAAATACTGTAAAGTAATTGTTTTATATAAATATAAATATATATATATAATATTGTAAATGGAAATAATTTATTAAATAGTGAACATATAAAATACATGACGTATTGTTATAATAGAAATTAAAGAAAGATATACCATTTATGATGGAGTTCTTTCTTTTTTTAATTTGAACTGGATGGTTTAGTTGTGGAGCTTTTTCATGACATTATCAACAGAAGTGAATCAGAAAAAATTATGTATAAACAAAGGAACAAAAATTAAATTCATGAAAGATACGGTGAGATTCTAATTTATGGACAAGCCAATCAGAAGCGTTTGAGGGATTTCAAGGTCACGGCGACAACTTCAGTACTTAATGCTAACGTACGATCGGTTCACAGGGGATTTTATACAAAACATGATAATTGAGCGACTATGACAAATAAAACGGCTGGATTATAATTAATGGACGAACCAATCAGGTATAAGATAACAGATCTCAGATTTTGGCCCGAAAGTCTTTCATCCATTTGGTTAAATAGAGTTTTGGAATTATAGCTGATGTCAGTTCGTGATGAAAACCCCATATATAGATTCCACGTATAAGAAGTGTATCCACTTTATTTACTTGGTTTTGCATAATATATTTTTACTCTATACTGACTGATTCCTGATTTGCTAATATTTCTCAAAGTCACTTAAGATTCGTTCAAAGGTCGTCCATAAATTAGAGTCTCGCCGGATAAGTTGTGAACCACATGTGGAGAAATTTGAACACTGTTTCTAACTGGCGTTTGTGCTGATAATATCGTTCAGAGGAACGATAAAAACTCTATGAGTAAACCACCCAGTTCACAGAAAAAAACTCCATCAAAAATCATCCATCTGAGCTACAAATATTTATTTTGAAACTCATCACCTGGATATCCCGGTATCTAAGTGTTAATATTCACTTTATAATTCAAAATCTCAATGATATATCTATTATGCTGTTTAATCAATGTATCAGCTAAATTTATTCAGCGCATATTATGTTTACATAATTATTAGGAAGGGTTTAAATTTATTCTGCATATAATAATAGTTTTCTGAATTTATTCGATGAATGTATCAACTTTACATAGAACAAAATACTCGTTTTAATTTCAGTCAGTCTATTTTCTTATAAAGTTCTAACGAAATGACAATATCAACACAAGATACGCATATCTCAACAACGACTGATGAAATATACTGGTAATTATTTTGCTATTAATGGCTTTAATCAATATTAAATTTTGGTACAATATAGAATTTTCGGCACGAGGTATTTCAACAAGTTCCTTTCACAAATAAGGAAAGGAAAAAGGTGGAAAAAAGATCTGAATCTGTACAACTTTTCAAATTAGAGACATGTTTAAGAATACAGGTTATTGACTAGGTTGACTCGAACAACCTGTTCGTCACAGAGTATATTTGTTAGGTAAGGTATTACAGAACTTTTGTACCTTTGCTTGCGTGCATGGATTTTAATATATTTACGTCTCATTCTACTAGAAGATATACAAGGAGAAAGATATGAGTGAAGGGGATGGTTAGTATTTGATAAGATAACACCTGACAGAAGTTTGCAAGACTTTAGATGTCTATCCACAACCATTTTAATAATGACCTCGAAAGATTCACCACAAACCTTGCTAACTGCCTTCGGCACTATCCGCAATACAGCGAAGTCTTGTTTCAGGACAGAATAATGGAGAACAGTAAATAATAATAGGTAATATGCAGGAATTGACAAATTGTAATAGTATATGTCGAGTAATTCCGAAAGCATGCAGCCTCTTTATGTAGTAAGTCAGACGGAAAAGTTTCTTCGATAACATTAAAACATGAGAAGAGCAGGAGAGATCAGAGGGAAGTAATAACAAGATAATTGGCCTTTGACACTGTTTATCAAAGAGCGTCCAATGGCACAAGCATTATGGGATCTCAAAATGGTGTTTAAATGCCGTTCATGTCTCATGCTAAAGTTAACAGCTTGACATTTAGACGGATTAAGTATGAGACCATTACCAACAGACCAACAATCAATGCGAGACAAAAACTCATTCATTTCTATGGGATGTAAAGAAGTAGAAATCGGCACACATACATTTAGGTCATTCGCATATTTCAAAAAGGTTTTCTGTGGAAGATGGGAGATCATACAGAGAAAAAAAGAAAAGAAAAAGTGAAAGAACGGCTCATTGTGGTACACCTTCATGAGACAGTAGACACGTTGAACATTTTCCTCCAAACACAGTGTACTGTTCTCTTTCAGAGAGGTGAAAACATAGTCGATTGGTTATTCAGCTGTCACTGTTGACGCTGATTAACTTATTAAGTAAAAGTTGTCTTGGAATATGATCAAAAGCAGAAGTGTAGTCCAGATTTTTGAGGTCACGATGGCATAGTAGCCTATATATATATATATATATATATATATATATATATATATATATATATATATACTAAAGCAGTACTTGTCAAATATACTCTAGATACGTATCCGTTAACTAGCCACAATTACCATGTTTACGTGATGTTACAAGCTTATTTGTAGCTGTTTTACTATTTTTACCCTTATCATTTGTGATTGACAGATGATCATTTTTTAAGTCAGTAACGTTAAATACCACCTTTACATCTTTACTTCTATTTATGACCAGTTTTTTGACAGGCTGTGCAAGCAATTCGCAAGTGAATCATTACTAACTTATGGTGTTGAGCTGTCATCTTTTCTATATCACTTACTTTGATTTAACTACTTTGGTTGATTTTTGGTTAATGTAATCTATCTGTGACACATATTTTAGTAGGAAGAACTTCAGTTGTTCTCTGTAAATTTACAATGTCAATTTTATTTGTGTTTTAATTGTACGGTATTTCTAATTATATGTGGTATGTACTTGTTTAAATTTAATTTTGTTTGGAATAAATAATAATTAATTTTAATAGTGTTTAAAGAATCTTATATTATAGTTAAAATGATTAATCTATTAGTCGGTTTTTTTAATTCAGCAGAGAATTGAAGATGTGAAAGAACATCGTTTAATGTGGAATCACTAACTCTTGACGCGGTAATTAAAGTTTTAATAGCATTGACAACTTCTTAGTTAAGATTAGGAGTGTCAATAATTCCAGATATCGAATTGCTTGCTAACCTGGTTTATCTATGAGATTTAACTGACTGTAAGATCCCTTGAGTTCACAGGACGATGAAGTGGAGATTTCTAGACAACTACGAGCTATACATCATGAAAAAACCTGTTAAGATTGTAGGTAGGAGGCTTTAGATTCCGAATACCTCAAAGAATACGCATCGCAATAATAACCTACCGCGATATAACGGACTGATAATACTGTTGATATAAAACATAGTATTACATACTACCTAATCATCAATTTTACTAATCTTTTGTAAACATTTATATTATGAGTGAATATTTCATGATATTACCTGTTTACCGGCTGCAAGTATTTCAACAGCTCGATCAAATTGATTATTTTGTATAAAGAATTCTGAACATTCTTTTAACATAACTGAATCTAATTGTTCATCATTTAAAGAACTAATAATAGTTTGTAAAGCATCAAACTGATGATTATTAATTGCTAATTCTATAGCACGATTAATTTTACCAGCTTTATGATATAATAATACTGCTTTATCAATATAATCAGGATAATTTTCCAAATGTTTTGCTGATTCTAATATATCATCTGATCTGCCTAATTGAGCTAAACTAAAAAGATGATCATTACGATTATGTTCCTGTAAGAAATATTTTAAAAGAAAAATAACAATATGGGAAATATTAAAAATATCTTCTGTTATTAAAGTGATAAATATAGTAATATACTAAAGCATAGTTCAAGATATGAACAAGTTTCACCAAATAAATAATGAAATATCAAAGATTTTTGAAAATCTTTATGTCATATCGATAAGTATCTATGCGATTTTTGGCATTCTTAAGACATGAAAATAACTAACAAACTTTAAGTAGATCGTTTATTGATCATTTATGTACAAATTCTTTTACTGTAAGATAGATATTAATAATAGTCGATTTATTTGATTAATCATTGAGGTCCCCCCCCCCGATTTCCAGGTATGTACAGGTAGTTTTCTTAGGAGACCACTTCTCGAGCGTTCGACTCAAATATCTACCTCAAAGGCAGTTAAGCGATGTCAGAATTTACAGTCTAGTGTCAGGCAGTGAATGGGATAAGTTCTTACCTTATTCTCTAAAGGCTCTTGAGCATGATATTCAACATGGATTAGGAGTCGGAGTTTTATAAACCCTAAAAATGGACTATCTGTATCTAGCAACCCGGTTTAAGTGCTAGAATTCTGTTTTATTTCCCCTTTTGTGTGAACCTCTACCACATGAAAGCGATGAATAGCACTTCCTTAACAGTGGCTATAAGCACATGGCTATGTAAAAGTATTTTGAGATGGAGAATCAACTTTCTAACTTTGTTTGTACCAGTCCATTTGAGGGCAAGGTGGACTTTAATATTTGACGACTAATGAAAATTCCCGATATAAGATTATGGATGAGACATAATATTCGTAGTTTTCAAGTCAGTGATTAGTGTTATTTTTTCAAATACAAGACATCAGCTTTATTAAGAAATTTTCGTTCATCCATCATCCAACGAAATAAAATGATATAAAAATACGTAGATATATGGTGTATGGTAAAAATAACTAAAAGCAGAACTGGTGTAAACCTTCGCAATTAAAATGTAAAGTGAATTTAATTTAAAAATGTCACGAATATTCAGGACTTGACAACGCTGTTGACAGTAGCAACCTAATGGTTGAGGATACCTAGCGCAGTCAAACCAGGGATCAGGAATGAAGGAATCGAAGATATATTTGAAGAACAATTGATGTGTCAAGAAGTATGTGACCTAAGCTGACAAGTTATTGAAAGGGGGGCGAAGCACGGCGTGCATAATGGTGATCTGATGTGGATACGTGACCGAGAGCCTTTAGCTATGGTGTGTCAGGTAGAACTAACGAGGTCAGCATCAATGTTGAAGGCTTATAGAACTATTTATTGTGGGGATTTATTTACCACTATAACGTTCATGGTAATCAAAACACAAGTCACCCAATTCCGGAATGATAATTATCAATGTTCTTTAATGTATGATAGGATATGTTCAAGTCCTGAAGTCAGATAACTCTTGATAAATGCTAGTTATTATATCTATTTTTCAACATAAGCAACATTATGATCATTTTGGGTGGTTGAAGTTGGTCGGTAAAAAACTGCAACAACGTTTCCTGTCAGTTAGCACTATTCATCAAAAGATATCTGAAATTGTTAGGAAACTGATTCTTCCCATAGGATTCAAGTTTCACATTGAAAAACGTTACCATGAAGTTATTCGGGGTGCGACATACCCTGAGTGGGACAAAGGTATTTAAAGTTGATTGATCAATTAATCATTACCAATTTCATGTTAGTCTAATTTTTAGTGTTGATGATATTATGATGATTCGATTTTATTACGTTGCACAAACGTATTGCACTTGAATAAGCTTTTGCTCTTGTCAATAAACGAATTGCTTGATCTATACAACCTTTCAATTTTAAATGATTCCCTAAATGATGACAAGCACCAGGATCATCAGTTTCATTACATATTATTTCAGCTTCTGATTCTTCACCAAGACAACATAGTACACGTACTAATGATAGGTAATCTTTCGAGTTAGAATAATACGTTTTCGCTTCTTCGAGACGCCCCTGAGCTTCTAGTGTTTTTGCCCACCAACTTTTGATATTTCTAAGTTCAAAAAGAAAAGAAATGAATGTTTCAACGTTAAGTCAGTCAATTTATATTTTTTTGAGGTTTCCCTACAGTTAGCGATACAGAATGAGATCATTTCGTAATCATGTTGGAAGGGCCTTATTTTTAAAACTGTCTATACAGTCTTAGTTTTCACTTTTTGCATATCTGGATTTTCACAGTTAAATTAACAAGACCATCATTAAAACCCTGAAAGCACTGAACGGCCGTTTCCTCCTAGTACACCACTCCTCGACATGCACACACGGAAGTCGGAGCCAGGACACTTGACCCTGCGTATGAATCTTTAACCTCTAGATCTATCTATCTATCTATCTATCTATCTATCTATCTATCTATCTATCTATCTATCTATCAATCTATACACAGCAAAAACTAGATTATGTATTCTCAGAATTGTTTTACTTCAACTTATATTACATCCATGCATATTTACCATTGAAAATCTATTCAAGTTCAATGAAAATAATGATCAATATCAATACAATTTAACAAAAATGTCTTATTCAAATAAATTAAGTATACTTACTGATCATTTTGTTTATTCACAAATGATTCTAATAATTCTGGATTATTTTGTAACATTCTAGGAACTTCAAACTGATAAGTTCCTGATTTAATATAACTAAATATTAAATATGAATGATTTTTTTATTTTAAGAAATTAAAGTCAATAAAAACAAATGTGAATCTAAAAACGGTGAGACTATAATTTATAGATGAACCAATCAGATTTAGGCGCGAAATTTATTCACCCATTTGGCCAAATATCAATTTGGCATTTTAGCTGATGTCAGTTCGTGATGAAATACCGTAAATCTAGTTCCTAACCTTACCTATCTAATTGTAAATCATAATCCTTATTCTTCAAACTACTTTATAACCCTCATTTAACCCTAGTAAGTTAGGGAGACACTCTGAAGGTCACTTTGGTTTCGCTCAAAAATCGTCCATAAATTATAGTCTCACTGTAAAAACATATCAGGACCAATGTTTTAACGGCATAAATTTATAACGAACAAAATGTATGGTATAATAAAATATAGATAATCACAATTTGATGAAGTTTATCTTAGTATTATATCATTATAATTATTGTTAGATGTTGTAAGTTTAACATTGTAAATGAAGCTACGATATGAAGACTATGGATCATCGGTGATTCCTTCTTCTTGCTTTTTTTCTCTGATCGGTTGCTTAACTTAAATTATTCTTTTTATCAAACTGTGTTTTATTATCAATATTCCAATATAAAATAATCGGGAATATTGGAAGATAATTTCACTCGCGTCCTTGAATTTACAAAATTTCAAACATTCCACTGTGGAAACCCAAATGGATCCTCTTATCCCATATGGAATATTGTATATTGTAGAAATGCCATTATCTTACAAATTAATTTTTAATGACTGTGTTATATTCTTACGCAGATTAGAATAAGTTCATGGAACGTAGTCAGTCAGTCAGCCAACTACAACGTAGGACCAGGCACATATATGCATCGGTCCAAGTTCCCATACCTAATTAGCACAACAAGATGAACACAAAAGTAACAGAAGTAGTTAATTCAGTGGTGGTAATATGCATAAGAAATATTGCGTATAAGGACATAGTACACGAAGAAAGAATTAGTTCGTAGAAAGAAAGATACGAAGCGATTTTAATGTCATAGTTTAAGGGAAGACAGGGAGTGTACACACCGACGCCATTGTGATCGATTCTTATCCATGTCACCCAGAGTCTCTAACCATTGGTTATCATAGTCACGCGGACCCCAACCAAGTACTTTGCATCTACCAACATTGCTCAGACTAGAAGTTAGTGACTTCAAGCACTAATGCCATGTTTTGGTTTGGCCGCCCCTAACTTAATTCCAATCATCCCCTACACTAGTCAGCATTGAGCGTCGCGGTAATCGGTGTTCAGGCATACGTAACACGTGGCCCAATCATCTCAGTCAATGAAGATTCACAACGTAGTACCACTAGTTCAGGTCATAATACAGCTACATTTTATGAACACAATGAAAAAAGTTATAATCGAGTTAATCCTATCTATTTATTCTATAACACATGCTTGCTGATATCCAGTTCTACATAGTCTTCATGACACTAAAACCAGTTTATTTTTTTATATATTTATTTATATTGTGTAAGATTTGTGGAAATACCTGACTGATGGTATTCCAATTCATATAAATACCTTCTAAACTGTTTTTAATGATTTGTAATTTTGCCTACTGAAGTTTTAATTGAATTTTCCTATTCGAATATATCAAGACATTCGTTTAAACTACTGATGTTCTTGAAATCAAGACTATTAGTATTTAGTCTTCTGATATAATACATTTTTTTACAGTTATCGGTTTCAAGCTAATACTTCGGGGGTTTATTTGTCATTTCCTTACTGATATACATCTTTGTTGAATTGAAAATAACTTATTTCCATTATAAAACTAATGAAGTTAATGATATCATGTTTTAAAAGAATAAACTGTCACTTGTTTGTATAAAAAACAATTTCCATGATTTTGACAAGAAAATGGTGTATATTCCAAATGTTAAATGAATATGAATTTTACAAAACTAGCAAAGATCTTTTTATTCCCTGTAAGTACGAAACATAAGTCATTATGTCAATAGTGATGTGGGCTACTGATGTCGACAGATATAAGTAGTATGTATTATCAATCGGATGTGAAATATCTGACGGCAGAAGGTTAAGAAGATCGGAAAAAAAGAGAACAAGAACCGAGAATGCTTGATGTGGAGAAGAAGGAATAATCAAGTCTGAGACAATCGGTTGACATTTTGCAAATAAAGTATTCACTGTATGGCTCACAGATTTTACTGAGCGATTCCTTGATTGTCCTCGTTCACTATAATAGGATAATGAAAAATACTGTCAAATCTCATATTATATGACTGTCTGTTAAAAAATAACTATGTAAGCATTTACTGAATATATTTTAGTGAAAATGTTGAATTTCTTCGATAAAAATCAAATTAGTTAACTGCCAAAAGCTGACAGTATCATCAAAATGACAGATGGACTAGCTTAGAATCCCTGAAAATTTAAATTTCCATCCTACTAATCGTGAAGTTTGACAATATCTACCTTGTATTTACAGTTAAATTTATGATAAAAGGATATTTTTAGTTGTAAATAACCAGTTTTTCTAAAAAGATAATACTAAATAAGATTATATTGGGCATTTAGAAATAGAACAAAAATCTCAGGATACTTTCGATGATACTTTCAATAAGGACGAATTCAAGCAGCTAAATATTTGACTTGAGAAGCTTTTATTATCAATATCAACAATGTTATGAGGAATTATTTCTTAATAAGTAGAGTAAATTAAGAAAATAGCTCATTCTACAGTAGAATATCATAAATATAAATAATGGTCAACCATTTTATCTATAAAACTCATCCTTGTCTCGTCAAGCAACATATTATTTAGTCTTACTACCATCTAAATGAAAACACTTAATGATCTTCAACAAACCTTTTAGAATTCAAAGTATGATCGTTTGTGAGTGTAAATATTAGTACTTAAAAACTTTTTTGTTACAATATTATAATCATTGTTATATAGATTTCCATTAGAATGGCAGTGTTTAAATGTTTGAAGTCAGTGCCTTAACAGATGTTCAAGACAATCACAGTTTTTTATCACTTTTATTCGGGTAGCTAAACGATTTTAACGACAAAAAAATAATTTGGAAGTAATAAAACTTATTGTTCAATAGCTTGCTGAATGTTACCCACAGACTCCAGTTCTTTAGCATAGGCATAATGAATACTACGTAATAACATGATTATTTTGTTCAGCCGTTATCAAAGCTTTGTTCCAATTACCAAGCGACTGATGTAAACGAATTACCAAGTCCCAACGATTACATTGAATGAATAGTTGTTCAGCCTCCTCCTTAATAAATTAAACCAACATGAAGTGTTCAGAGTTATCAACCTTTCAAAGTATCATCGTACCATACCTTGTCTAACTAATGTATGAGATATACAAAATATATCATGGTTTTTAATATCCATCTATTTTCAGTAAATTAAATACAAATCAGTGTCTGGCGGCAAAATGTTACATGAAAATGTATATTTTACACGAACATTTTGAGCCCAAGAAGTCATTATGTAACTCTACGCTAGCTAGTAAATGAATAGTACGGTATTCGATGGTTAGTTTTTAACAAAGTATTAGACCAGCTTCTGCAGATATTTTTACCATAACTTCAAACTAATGACTAAGGCATCTGAATTCACTCTTAGACTTGGTTCTCATCTTAAGTTGTATTCATTAAAATTACAGAAAAAATAATTTTAATGGCATTGTCCTCCTTTGAACTAAGTGCCTTAATCAACGAAACCTTTTCAATCTATATAATGTCAACTAAGGGACGTAATAACAATGCCAGACAAGTAGAACATTGTCTACAAAATTAAATTGTCACAACTATGTGAAACATCATACCGAAGGAAGAAGATGTCTTCTTCATTTCCTTCATAATTCATCAGTTTCAAATCTCATGACATAGCTCCGCTCAAATGATCACATGTTACCTAATGTTACCAAGATTTTCATTGGAAGAGTGATAAAATCGTCAAAATAAAAAACGAAAAAAAGATTAAAGGATTTTCAGAAGCATGTCACTCATGTCATTTAACAATCAAGAGATTTGTTGAAATACCTTCAGTTTATTAGCTATTGAGAAAAATGTTAAGTAACTTCAAGATCAAGGATTAGACGAGTAATAAACATTTTGTAAAAACCTGGTCACCCTTTACATTGCAATTAGTGACAAAAATCAACCCCATTCCTATAGTCAGTGGAAAGTATAAGTAAATCCTTACAAAAAAAACTTTGTGCATGGACCAATCAGTTTACAGAATCCATTATCACCAATTCGCTTAGACTGTTTAAACATTATTTGGGAAAAGTCTTTTGATCTGTTGTTGTTTTCAGAGATCAAAAAACCACCTAGGTAGATTGCGTTTGTTACAAAACCTACAGTTCTGTTCAGTTATTATTAACAACTACGTAAAAGTAATCTAAATGAGCAGTTTCATTTTAGTGAAATGTTCATAGAATAAAACAGTAAATATTAACTCCAATTGTTACCATTAACAAAGAATAGGCTATCAAATACTTAAAAAAATCTTGTAAATGTTTTATTTGGAAAAGATTTAATACAAAAACACGCGTCAAGGGGTTTTTGGGAGCTATCAAATATCATACTATGCATAACGAATTAACCTTAGTTAAATAACCATTGAAAACTAGGGAACGATAAACGGCTTTTTCGCCTCGATTATGTGACTCTTTAGCGATACACAAACTGACCTCATATGTAGCACAATTGTAAACAATGAACGACTGGAAGTACATTGAATAATACTAATGGTTGTGTCACTAACTGAACATGACATTCTGGGGTTAGATCTCTGACAATATCATCGACGTGTATTTCTGAGTCCCACATTAAGACAAAATATGTATCTACTGCTTTATAGTCCTCAGTGATTATCTAACTTAAATCATTTCGTGATATAAACCTTAAAGTAAAACAAGTATAGTTGTAAAGTAAAAAGATAATAGTCATTTTGAACTTCAGAGTTAGATTTTAATTCTATACTGTTTACCTAGAGATTTAAATTTATAGATCCCTGGAAACAACTTAGATTAAGTTGGATCAGTTTTACATCAGTATGGTACATATATCAATAACTTATTAGCTGACAAATTATTGTTAATGACTATAATTGTATGATAATAAAGTTCATTTATTTATTTCACGAAAATTAATAAGACTTCAATACTGTCAAATTAGCAATAACAAATTAGATAACGACAAAATACTAAACACTAGAAGAGGATTTCAGCTGATGTTTCAAATCATATCTTAGAACCACATAAGTGATATCACAAATTTATACATACGATTAAGGACTAAACATATTTATACCTTAGATCACAATCTGAAACAATGATAGTTAAAAAAGGATAAGAATCTAAAGGAGATTTGCAGAAATCTAAAGAATTTTGTACATATTTTACGTAAACAACCTAATCATCTACTCCAAAATACAGTATTCGCTGGGGTAAGAATACAATAGAATAAATATTAACACGGTAAGAAAACAAAAGATGACATATTTGTCTACACTAAATGTAACTAATGAAATGTAGATTGTAAGCATCATGAATGAATTCTATCAAATATGGAATTAATGATTAAACAGTCTTTTTTTAAAATGACTAATACGACTGTTTGTGGTATAACCAGTGATAAAGAAGAATTACTTGCCTACTGATATAAAAAACGTTGTGAGGAATTAGAAATTCAGCAAACACTCATTCCTTATACGAAATCATTCACTGATACTTTTGTTCATAATGCCTCATCTCGATTCATGACTAAAATGAACTTTAGCTGGATTAAGCTATACTAATGATCAGTAACAAAAAGAATTCTCAAAGTTTCTATAAAGAAGGCATACTTAGTGAAATCCAATCAACTTGCAAGTGAGTCAGATATCATTCCCCGCACTGGATGATGATAGTGCTTTGCTATAAATTAACTAAATTTGAAATTATGAATCATTAAACTCAGGTTAATTATCTTTAGAAGTAAAGTGATCTCTCTGTGAGACATAAAAGCCATTAGTTCATTCTCTTACAGGTGTACAATTTTAAGGGAATTCTAAACTATGATATTTAATGTTTTCTGGCTTATAATTTTTCTGGAGATAATTTAAACCTATGACGAAAACCAACAACAAAAAAATCTTCCTAAAAAGATCTTTTAAAATATTTGAGCAATAAGACAATTGAATAGTAAATTAAAGTTTAACACTTACAGTCATACCAATTTGTAAAGCTAATTCTCCTGCTTGAGCTTCTAATTCTGGTTCTTTACTTTTAAATTCACGTAACATTTTCGATCCCATTGGATTATTTATTTTTCCTAAGCAAACACGAGCAACATCCAACCGACAAGTAGTAACACACATTTTAGCCATATTCTATAAAAAAAAATTTTTGAAGAAGAAAAACAGTTTGTTTAGGCAAATTGTATCATAAAGAAAGTCTAATTAAGGTTAAAAAAATATGTGTACAAACTCATTCATAAATATATACCTACTTTCCTAAGAAAATTGGGCCACATTTTGAATCAATAGTGTGTGGTCGTCTTCCTCAGAAGATCAAGCCCAATCTCGAAAAATAGCACACACTCATCAGCAATGCTCAGTTATTGTTTGACCTTGAACGGAAATGTTTGATTGATCAAACCTATCAATATGTAAGGTGGCTGCGAGTAGTCTGTTTAAACATTAGAACTAGGTTTCGCAGTAGTGAGCGCTCACCACGATGTCTTACTATGAATCTTGAGGCTACTGATGCTCTCCATGGGATTTAAACCATAGTCACTTAGATTCATAGTTTAAAATGTTGAAAGTGAGCTTTTGAGTCGCGACTGAATTTTCGCGGGATCGAGATATTTACATTTACTCATGTTTCCGTGGTCCTTAGTCCTGATAGAAATCGAACATTCAAGTTATGATTTATTCGCTTTATAAACCTTGTTATAAGATTATATGAAATATTAGCCTAGAATTCCAATTTGAAAGTTATTTTAATATGAGTAACAGACCATACTAAATTGTTTCACAGTTGAATAGTTTCTTTTCTCATAATAACTATGATTGTTATTAATGTCACTATTATTATTTAAATTTTATAGCAAATCAGTCAGTACAAAATACATCTTGTGAAAATCTATCAGAATCCACAATATTAACAGATGATTTGAATGACCCCATTTTTATCAAATCATGATTATTAGTATGGGATTTTGTGTAGATCACAGTATTTCCACAGTTGAAATCACGAGTCTATCTAAGCTAGACCGTCAATGAAAACCTGGAGGCACTACTGAAGAATGTTATACTAGAACGAAACGGTCGTCCGTTTCACTCTAGTATGGAAATCGTCGGCAGTGCACATCCATGATCCCGCATGAGGTACTCGAACATAGGAGCCACTGACTCGCGCGCAAACACTTAGTCTCTAGACCACTAACCTGGCATCCAACGGTGTTGATTTCTAACTTCAATCAATCCATAATCTTGTGCAACCGTTCATCCATTGCCTGAGGTAAATAACTGTCTCACACCCGACATGGATTGGACTCCGCTGGTCACGGCTACTCTCTAGAACTCCATAAGTTACATCTTGAAGCTAATCACTAGTGATTACATGTTTGTAATCAGTATGGAGATTTGTGGTCGAGACTCATACCAGGACAAAGTGGTCATTCCGTGCTTCTACGTTCTCACTAGTGGTCTAGCTTAAATCCACTCATGATTCCGACTTTGGGAATCACTATTGATCGGCTTTCGTAGATGACAAAGTCAAACTCAAGTGTGAGCACTGTTTTTTTGTATGGTAAGGTAATTAAATAAAATATTTGTTTAACTAAGCCATTATACATTTCCCTGTATCAACGAATGATTTACTATAACATACCTGCCAAACTACTAGACTTTTAATCAATTTTATGGCTCTAAATGCAGAATCCATTTCAACTAATGCTAAATAATAGCTGAAATTTAGCATAGCTTCACGTGTTTTCTCATCAGCATCCTCAAGACCAATAAAATTTTGCATTACACATCTATCAGTATAATGTACTTTATTCTGAGTTGTTGATTCATCACCATCATTCACTTCACTATTCATTGATTTCCTTCTCGAATGACTATTGATATCATCATTATCATTCGATTCTTCATCTTCTCTATGCAATGATGTATTCAGATCTAAACCATTATTATGATTACTTGTGATTGTTGATGTACAATCAATTTTATTGATTATGCGACCATCAGATGTAATCTTTTCAAAACGATTTCGATATTGTTCATCAAGAATAAGATGATTTAAATCACACTGAAAAATTGAGAATGAATTAGATTACTATTTTTGATGTATTAAATGGGTACATAATAGGACCAACTAATTGAATATTAATGGATGACATTTTCAAATGATATATAGTCGAAAAAAGATCATTTAAAATGGGCATATTAATTTAGAAATAATTGTAACATCAAAGTGATCAAAATAATTAACTTCGAATATCGATACTCTTTTATATTTTCTTAACAACTATTTTTATTGTAAATGAATACGATTTATGTATAATGGATAACATAGACTTCAGGACATCCCTTACATATTTATCTTTACTTTCTCTTGATAGTATGCTAAAACTGTTTAACTTTTTAGGATAACTACTGAGATATAGAATGTTGGTAAATATGACTTAAAAGTTCTTTGGTTTTACAAGTCAATATGCATGTGAAGAAAAATATGACGGTAGTTTACACCTCGCTTTGCAATCATCTGGAAGGCTAACAAAACTAATATGAACTAAATAGTTGTTTCTCTGTAATCTAAAAATCATCAGTTCAAGCGTTCATTACATTACACATGACCAAACTTATAACTTGCAAATTGACCGGGGTTCTAATCATGACTGGCTGGATTTTCACTCTATGAGTTAAAATTGTATCGTACTTATCGTAGAAATGTTTTCCTAATTTTGAATATCATGAACTGTTTTGGGATAGTGTATATAATCAGTACTATTTTCAACCTTAATGTATCGCATTATGAAGTGAATTTTCGAATTCAGGTTTCGCTAGTTGAATATTACCAAAAAGTAGAATGTCATGAGTGATAGTTTTTTCCTAGTTTAAAACTTTTCAGCATTTCGTTACCAGTTGCCATCGGACAGGTTAAACAAAGAGTCCTCAGATTATATAACAACCTCCGTTATTGATGGTCACAATGTCAACATTTTCCTACTTTCATCAATCTATAAAATAGCTAGACCGTTCTTCAGTTGTACCATATGTTAATTGTCACCCTTACAACAGCGTTAATTTTCGCACCTTTTGACTTCTCATTAGAACTTTGGGAACTTTACCTCTAAGCAAATCACATGCCAGCCCACAGTTATCATTTTCGCTTATTTGTTTGTTCTAAAAGTAGTTCACGTCAGAGATTTGTATAAATTTTCTTAATAAGTATAGTTTAATAAGGTTTTGCTTGTATAAACGTAATAAGTAATAACGTACACCAACAGAAAAATATATGAATGGTACTTCAACACCAATCAATGCCCTATGATGAAAAGACAATAGAAATGATCCTTGAATTATTGTATCATTTCGATCTGGACTAATAAACAATGAAACAATCGAAGTAGAAACTTTCGATTTCTAAAGAAATAAAAATGGAGAAAAGCAAAGTAAAATTCATCAGCACAAGATTGTACTATTAGTTGTTTGACATAAATAGATCAATGGTTACTAAGATACATTTAATGCTGGTAGATTTGTTTATCAAAAATACATCTCTTTCATGATAATTTATCCATTAACTACTGCATATTTGTTGGTATAATAAACATAAAAGCAGTCGCAAGTTTATTATATGTAAATCAATCTTAGTCTAAAATATATCATACTAAAACATCAAGGTGGTTAATCGAAAACTACAGCTTAAATCTTCGAGGAAAACCGAAACTTAGTTAAAACAAAAAATCCATTGCTTGATCGTACCAAGCCATCATGATCTGTTTTATGTTGTAATGAAGAATAATTTCAATTCTTTTATTGAACGAAGAAAATTGTTATCACAACTATAAAATCAGCTGTACTGCATTGAACATAGAATTAGTTACAAAATATATTAACAGTTCCAATTAAACAAAAGTAACCAATGAACAATCATGGAAGTAGTCAAAGTCAGGTTCAATATCTATCAGTTTAAAACTATAAAAACAAACAATTATTTAGCATGGTTTTTTTAATTTTCATTGAGTATACAACTGTGTGATGTCATATTTAGTATAAACTACAATATGAAACCCAGTAAATTTGGTAAATTGGTTGTAGTGTATTTGATATTTTCACTGATCACCTACATTCAACCAAAATCACATTTTGTAGTTTCACGTCAACCTCCAACCTTAGTTAGAGAGCCATTTAAATCCAGAAAATACTGGAAAGCTAAACACTTAACTAATGAACACTTTACCTGCATTTAGATCACTGGGCTGGTATTCAGTAGATCACACTTCTAAATTTAGTCGATTAGATATGTTCCATGGTCATCATGGGTGAACTTCACTAGTCAGTAAATTCCGCTATAGAAAAATACAAAGTTCAAAACTCTCCACATCCAAATGTGCTACGAAATAATAACCAATTAATCAAACGCTTCAAACAACAAGATTCCTTTCTACTTTCAAATTTTTGACATAAACAAGTAGTAGTAATGATAATAATTATAATTAAAAGGTCCTTATTTGTTTGCATATCAAATAAAAGCACAATTTTGGGATGTTTGAGGAGTACGTTGTGAATTATGTCTGTAGATAAAAATGTGTTCAGCTAATTCGGACATTAAACACTGAATCAATCTGACCATGGTGTAGTATTGTGGTGCATGCTACTTATGTCTGTCGACGTATTTAACACCAATCAGAATTTTTATGCCTGGCAGCAGAAGGTTGAGAATATCGCATTGAAGTGAACAGGAATGTAAACAGAGAGTAATTGTAATAACAACAGGAATGAAGGAACGATACGTTTCATAACAGCCGTTTGATGGATGATATACAAATGAATTATTTAATGTGTAGTTTTTGTACTTTATGAAGACATCCGGTAATTTTGTATTAACTAATAAATTGATCTTTCCCCGGTGGGTGTTCGTTCACTACAGGATGTCTTTACTTCAATAACAGAACCACTTTAGTTATATGGAATACTAGTTAAGATATGCTAACTTAACCAGCTCATTGTAGACTCTTATTTCGACTGATATACTTTAAAAAGAATGGTTGTCATTCTCATGTTATATATATATATATATATATATATATATATATATATATATATATATATATATATATATTGAATTACGGTTACCCGTAGAAAACCCTAAGGCACTGAAGTTCAGCAGAATGCCAACAATGAGCATCGACTAAAATAGAATGTATTATTCACATTCATCTATCAGCCAATAACATTAATAGTAAGAGAGAGAGCGGTTTTATTCAATGTAATCTTGTTCAATAGAAAACTGGAGTTTATTACCAGTGATACGTTAAAATATCTAAAGTTGCAAATCAAAATTATGAAAAATTTCTACAACCATACTCATGCAAACATAAGGAGTTTCAAAATAAGACTGAGTGAATCTAAATAATAATAAAGCATAAAGGCTTATACATTTTTTTAGCCCAATATTCTTCAAACTAACACTCGGTAAATTTTGACCAAGAAGATATTCAGAATACTTTTATAAATGTACAAAACAAATTCATTTAAAATGAGATTGTTGATAAGCAAGCAACTAAAGTGACTAAGGATAAACTAACACCATACCAAAAAATTCATTTGTAAGTTATTTTGTATTTTTGGTAAATAAATCATACCCTTTTACTAAATGATCGATTATCCACAGTAGTACATTGATCAGTATCATTATCAATTCTATAATTAATTCCAGAATGTTCATTATTTACTTTTTCAAGTACATTTAATTTAGATTTTAATATCGGATGATCAGGTGAGATTGGTGCAGCTTCTACAACTAACATTCTTGATTCATATTGATCCCAATAATGATGTTTAGGTCATATTCTCTCAATAAGATTTGTACTATTTAAACGGATTAGATTTAAATTAACTGGATGATTATCACTTTCAGGATTGTTTACTAAAATAGATAAACCAATATAATGTAATGAAGAAAATAATTAGCATAAATAAACAAAAAAACACTTAATTAATATACCGTCAAATTTTATCAAATCTAATAGTTTTTATCAAAGATCTACAATATCAAGGAATAAAGAACAATTATTTCAATTTACATCGAAACAGCTTCTAAATAAGAAGAGCACTTAAATCTTATGACTTATAACAAATAGATTTTCATTTAGCAATTCGACTGTTTAACCTCCTAGTTTTTATTTTTCTAATAACAATGAAGATATTCCACTATCCATTTCAAGCCAAATTATTAAAATGAATTGGAATTGACGTCTAAGTGATTTTTGATTAAACTGAAGATAGCTTTCTCTGTTTCTCAATTTTTTTAGGCAACTTTCAACAGATGCTTGTTTTTAGTGATCCCTGTCGGATAACTTATCAACCACTAAACCAATTTATTTCCTACTTTGTTCAGTTCTGAAATCAGTATACAACGATTGACTAAACTGTATATCTATAAATATCTTGCAGACAGGGCAGTGAGGTGAATAATTTACTTAAACTTAATTAATGGAACCATCTTTAACACTGAATATGTAGATAGGTACTCATTTACCAAAGTTATACGGACTACCGAATGTACCCAAACTGGATATTCCATTGCGACGAATCTGTGATACGTACAATTCCCCTTACCATACTGTAGCAAAGAGGTTGGTAACAATTTTAATACCACTCCACAAAGACTTAGTGAAACATAGTATTAGGGATGTATTCCTTTATAACGACCATAGTGATCGGGTAAAGACACTTAACAGATTTAAAGAAGTTCTTCCGTTTAATAAATTCACATGTGATGAAGAAGAGAAAAGAATACTCTCTTTAAATGTTCTTCTAACAAGGATAATAGATGGTTCACTAGGAAGAAACTTAGACAAGAAAACTAGTTGAACTGGCTAGTAAACAAATTTGATTAGTTTTGTTCCACTAGAATATGAAAAGAACCTGATCAAGGCGCCTCATTATAGAATCAAGACAATTTGCTTGCTAAATGCGGTTGAAGAAGAACCAAAGGCACTGAGCACTACTTTGAAATAAAATGGATATCCGGAAAAATTTATAAACAAGCATCTAAGCATGAGAGAGCATAAAGAAGGCTTAACTGTAAGCAAAACGTCTCTGTATATACGTCTACAATTTAGAGACGATACAATGAGCACAATGCTAATATAAAAGTTGAATAGAGCAATCCAAAGGACTTTGAATCCAGGTAAACTGCAATTGTTGTTTCCCACACATCCGACGGTCATTCGGAGTTTGAAGGGTAATTTACCTAGACTACCCGCTTCTTTGTGTATCTATCAATTCAATTAAAGCAATTCACATTGGCAAGTATTCTAGAAACTTGTATTTTCGTGCTTGTGAATACTTCCAAGTGTGAATAAACAAAGGTTTAGTTAAAATTGTTTACAGCTCGATGTTAACTCATCTAGTACAAACGCGTCATACAACCAACATGGAGTACTCATTTACAATAAAATATCGTGTTAAGAGCTTGAATATGCTTAAATCCGTCAAACTAAGAATCCTTCGGATGGCTGAAAAAATAGCTATTCAGATCAAAACGTTGAGACTTTGCGTCCACAAGATATATGTTCAACTGCTCTTTTTACCTTGGTTAATTTCAGGCCTAATTAGTTAATAGTGATTTTGATGTATGGTGACGTAATTCGACTAATGTTCATACAACCTTTCTCTTTGTATTTTCACAGCTTAAACGTATTCACATATATTATTATCATTATTAATAAAACATTTCCAAACGTTTTTGAGAAATTTATTCAGCATCCAGCCCTATTTACTAATTCGTACCCGATTCGTACTATTCAACATACCACGTGATTTCTGATCTGTAATTACATTATTACCTCTCTCATGCCATGTTAACCATATTTATTCCGATCATCAGTTTCAAAGTTTCATTTAATGTACAACATTACTCGAGTCAACACTCTGTATTAGTTGTCCCAACATTAACGATTATATTTTATTTGACAATCATAAATTCACATGCTATAATTCTAAACGATGTAGTTTGCCTCAAACCTGGCCACTTCTTAGATTAGTAAGTTGACAAATAGATGCAGAACCTGGTAAGAATTTATTGAAAGGAATATTTTTTGTTCATATATTTCATTTATTCACCATCGATATTCTATGTTTCTGAGATAAACTGAAGCACTGTCATATTGATTCACATCACTCACTATAACTACAAGTGACACTCATAAGTATAAACCGATCGGAAAACTTGTTTATTGTATATCATATCTACCAAATTTTAGTAGTCAGGATACAGCATGGTCACGCACAAGGAAATTATATTCCATAAATTTTCGGCTCTCTACCTCATCAGAGCCATCAAAAAATTATTCCTGTAAATGAACCAACAAATGTAACAACTCAGTGCTTTCTGTTTCATATCAAAACAAATGTCCAACTTCGTAGTGACCACACAGTTTCATTCAAATTTAAAGGTTGTTTCATTGTCGCATAACAACAAAGTTTCTCATGAATAAATAAATTATCTCCCCAATTACAAACAAACATAATGGCTCCAAAGTAATTGATGCATATCATTTATACCTTTCAAATGTAATAAAAATGTCATTCATATTTTACAAATACACATATAGTATGTTTAGTGAATACTTATTTGTACGAGGTATATCATGAGTAGAATTTGTTAGTTTCAAAAAAATTGAAACATTTCAATTTATCTTCATCTATATGATAAATATAAATATTTGGATCCGGAAACCATTTTTTTAATAAATTCTCTTCTTTATTCATAATTCCATTTATGGTTCTTTCCATAACTTTGTCATTCATTTTATCTAATTGCATTTTTGTTAATGAATCCATAGAATTTAACCATAATAATTTACATAATTCTCCATTGTATAAAATTTCTATTGTGAATGCTATTGAATTACCAGAATTATTAATTGAAATCCATGAAATATTTAATTCATTGATGAGCAAAGTTTCTGAATTATGTAATAATGTAATAGTCTCTTGTAAAGATGTAAATGTAAATGTTGATGTGTTCTGTGATATATAATTTAATAATTTTCATTTAATTAATTTAGTTAAAGATTTTGTTACATTTGTTGATTTGATTTCTCTAAGTTTAGAAAATATATCAAATAGAAATAGGACAAATAAGCTTAATTACAATTTGTATATTAAAGAAGAATAGAATTTACTCATTGAAATTAATCGAATATGGCAGATTGAAGAATTCTACTATATAGATGGCAGCTCTGATAGTTAAGCGCTCGCGTGCAAGACTGATAGATCCTACGTTCGAATCTTGCGGTGGGGCGGGATTGTGGATGCATATTGCTGAGAAGTCCCACAATAGGACGAAACGGCCGTCCAGTGCTTTCAGATTTTCCATGATTGTCTTGCTTCAATTGACTCATGATTTCAACTATTGAAATTACTAAAATCTTCATAAAACCACTTCTGATACTTAAATAGTAGTATAAATATTAAAATTACTAAGAATGAATGGTGGTTCAAAAGTATAAAACTAGAAATTAAGGTATTCAGAATGTCAGAAGAGGGTTTTTTGTGGATATTATGGTAATTTCAATGGTTGGAATCATATGTTGGTTGAAGCTAGACCACCATAGAAAACCTGGGAGCACTGGATGGAAACAGATTTCTTCTATTAGTAGCAACTACATCGAACTTGTAATTTGGGTGAAATGTACTCAAAAAATCAAATAATACTTTTGAAACATTTTAAGGAATTAGTATAGAAAAAGGGTCTTGTGAAGATGAAAGAGTTTCTTGTTAAGAAATAATAAGAGTTATTAACTTTGAAAACATATCATAGTTTGTGACAGACATCTTAAGAATCTTTGTTAAGGAGATTGATGTGATTGCGTTAATTCTAGTATTTATTCACAAATATTATTTAGAGAAAATTGTAGAGTGGTTTTCCTATATTTGAATAATCATATAAGACCATCTTCGTTATGAACTAATGTTCGATCCAGTTACTGATGAACGTTCTTGAATGTTCGACACCCTTCTTATGGAGACGCAAAAATCTGCATCAGAAGTTCTGTTGCAAAAAGCTGAGTAATAATGTACACTATACATGAGTACATGTAAGTTACCGGACTTATACAAAAAGGGACATATTTATACTGACCTGTAGTCGGTGGATAATAACGCTTACCAGCACGGATATACTTGAAACTCTTACTTACTATATAGTCTTGAAGCATCATGTAATTCCTCAAGACTTCCTTAATTTATAACATTTAAGTGAGTAGAAGATATTTGAGGTCTAAATAGTGATTTTTATGTTACTAGACTCAACCTCACTCAAAGGTCATTCAAATTAGTGTCACTCCATTAAGATTTCGTTAAATATTATTGAGCTAGCACTTTGAAACTTCTTGAGGTTATTTTCAAGGCATTTATGACTTTAGTGGCTCCATTCTCTTGGCTAAAGACACCTTATCTATAGTAGTTTATATTTAACTCTCCAAATTTACTATGTGGCAACATTCTTCAAACAATTATCATACACATTGCTAAAGTATAATGTGAAGGAAGAATGAGATAAATAAAAGCACTGGAAAGAGATATACTCTTGAAATATTGATTTTGTACCAAATTATTGATGTAGGTTACCATAACAGTAAACATGAGAATAAATGTAAATATATCTAGAAATAATATATTTATTGTTTAAAGATACTTTCTGTATAACTATTTGTTTCTTTCTGAACATTGCGCTAAGGATTTCAAATTTTTAAAAATGAGAAAACTGCTCATCCTAACAACAAAGTTTTTATGGTATATTTATAATATCATCACTATTTATATCTAGTTTATCTTATATTTTGATTGAAACAACTATAGTCTTCATTTTTTGATTGAGATCACGAATCGGTTGATATTAGACCACCATTGAAAACCTGGAAGCACTTGACGGCCGTTTCGTCCTATTGCTGAGGAGTCCCACAATAGGACAAAACGGCCGTCAAGTGCTTCCAGGTTTTCAATGATGGTCTAACATCAATCGATTCATGGTCCCAATCAAAAACTTAACAATCTCCACAACCCCTAATCTGATATAGTCTTCATTAATTATCGGATTAATAATTTTGTTCAATCAAATTCCATTAGCTTTACTTCCATCTTTGATATTCGTTTCTTAAAACTGAACATTTGGTTTTAATTTCAAAATAGATAATATAGAAGCAATCTACTCAGGATGCTCCTCTACCAGAATAGACTAATCATCTGTAGATCTTAACAACAACAATGGGAAAATACAAACCTTGATGGCTGAATTATAGTCTAAAACTTGGAAAAAAATTCATTATCAAGTGGAAGTTAGAATTTTAATCAGTATGCGATCTTGAACATTGAGCTTGCAAGTGTTTACAATAATTAGACGGTCCTAAAATCAAACAAAATCTTTAAAACATTTGCTAGTATAGTGATTGAACATTAAATTGACAGATTATCAGGGTGTTACATAAGAAATAAACATTTGAAAGTCGACTTACCTTCTGCTTAGATCAAATACTCGTATTTTGTTTTGATCAGTAAGACATGCCATATAATTGCCATATTGAGCAGTCATAGTAATACTGCCCTCTGTTTCTGTAAAATTGATTAACTGTTTAACACAGCCCTAAAATATTGAATGAAATACAGCTTTAATGTTCAATAGAATATCCATTGAATAAATGTTTAAGTAAGTGTTGACAATGGTCACGACATAATCGGAAATAGTAATAACAATTGTGTTTAAGATTGAAACGTTCATCATTAGACAAACCTGAACAAGCATTCTATTCTTTTTAACGTTTTCTCAGTAATAGACCGAACTGGACTTTTTTTAGATTGTGGACTAAGGAGCTTTGGATACTGCACAAACATTTATCTGTGACTCAGTGATTTGATTATATAGCATTCTCTGGATATTAGGTTTGTAAAGAAGGTAAGAAATACTAAACTTACATATCCCAAACTGTCGACGCTTTTAATACACTCGTTAAACATTTCAGTTATGATAACATTACAACAGATATCTTTCTACTACACGTCGAGATCATCTGTACTAGAAATCTCAATTGTAACCTGTATTTCGAAGAAAATAAATGTTATTGAAGTCGTGAAGCGATCTATGATATAAAACAACTGTAAGCTTGTAAGCACTGTGCAGCTGTTTTATTCTAGTGATCACCCAAGATCCGACAACTGAGGACCAAACGTAGGACCTACGTTCTCGTACAGGCATTCTTTGACTTCATTTCAATGACACAGGACCCTATGTTAAGCAAGTTTAATTTCAGTCAATCCACAATATTACGTAATTATCTTCTATTGTCTTCAGCGAGTACCTTTTTCACACCCAATACAGTTACACTCCACTATTCATGGCTTTTCACTAGAACTCTGGAAATTTTCTCACTATGCTAATCTCTGTTGAACAAACGATAAATAAAGGTTTATTATAACACATTTCATGAAGTACAATAAATATAAAATGGTATGATAATATTTCTGTTAAAAATAAATATTTAGGAATACAACTTTAAGATCTTTCCATTCGGAATTTATCTTTGATTTAGTCAAGATATAAAGAACAGAAATAACTTTAACAATGTATCATTGTTATTGTGATGTTTACGAAAAAAAAGAAAAAAACGTTGTTTTTCTTTAATTGAACTAATTTTGAAATTACAAAAAAAAGAATTACCTCCAAATCACGAACTTGTAATTTATATGGTTCAATTGTAAATATATTATGTTGATACATTCCAATCAATTTATATTCACATGGGAAATTAGCTATTAATTACAATTACAAATTAAATGAATATTAATTAATTATCAGAAGGGATTTTGTAGAGATTTGAGTAATTTCTCTCCATTGGGTCCTCTCCTGGCTGATTGTTTTATGGCAAACCTAGAAAATTCGGTACTTCGACCAATAATTGAAAGATTTCATTTATATAAAAGATATATGGATGACACTTTAATTATTTGCGAAGAAGACAGTGACCTCAATGATATTTTGAATATTTTCAATAACTGTCACCCATCAATCCAATTCACCTTATAAGCAGAGACAAACCACGAATTTCATTTTCTTGATATCCATTTAAAAAGAATGCCTGACGGTTTATTACAGAGATCGATATACAGAAAACCCACTTGGAATGGACAATACACGAACTTCCACAGTTGGGTTCCATTAATTAGAAAAAGGAACTTAATTCATTCTTTATCCTCAAGGATCAGGCGAATTTGTTCCAACGACACAATAGATGGGGAACTATTTTATCTTCGACAGACCCTCATCAAAAATGGTTATCCACCGAGATTCATCGATAGAAACTTGGTACCTAGACCCCATGATAAAGCATTGACAGTAGAGAAAAAACTCTATTTATGAATATGGAATTTAAGGGAGATACAGCTGCTGAAATCCTAAATAAACGGATTTCGAAATCAATGAATAAAACATTCCACGCAGCTAAGCTTCGAATCATCTTCTCTAGCCGACCTACCATTCTGGGGTGTGTTAAGGACAAACTTTCGCTTTGGGCCACTTCAATGTGTATTTATAAATTTACTTGCTCATGTGGGGCATGTTACACAGGCCGCACAAAGCGATCATTATCCTAAGGACGTCACAGGTATTCAGTGTTTGACAACGCTTCTACCAGTAACACCTTCTAATGTATTTTGTTCCCACCCAGAGAAATCAAAAGACAGAGTCGAGGAGATCGGAAGAGTATATTTGGCGATGACCAATATATCGGAATTCTCTGATCTAATCTGGCTAGCGATTGCGGTTGATGTTGAGCACGGCGTTACCACACATGATCTGGTGAGGATGCCTGTTCGAGCGTCTCAGCTAGATCAGTCCACTAAAACATATGGTCAGCATCCAATGTCGAAAACTTACAGAGCTATTTATTTTGGGGATTTATATACCGCTACAATCCAAACGCATCTCGGAACATTATCCGGCTTGGCTTTTGAAAGGGGAGCGAAAAACAATCACGAGTTCTATACAAGAGCACTTAATCAACTGTGGACACATCGCTCCAAAAGACTCTTCGTTTAAAATAGTTTACAGAGTCAAAGGAACTGGATCGAAGGGGGGTTCGAATCAATATTTTATGCACCGCAGAGGCATTGGCAATCCACAAACTAAAGCCTGAACTTTGCGTGCAGAAACGATTTGTCCAACCTCTTATCCTTCCTTGGCCTTAATGGGTATGTTTCTAGGTGTATTTTTTTAAATGCACTTTTATTATTATCCACATTTTAAATTACTATTTTTGCACTTTAAACTCTAATCATTTATTATTATTACCTTTTACAAGTTTTCTTGATTATCATTCAGTTTATTATTATGACCTTTGTTGTTTTGTCGTTTTTCTTCATATCTGTCAATTGGACTATTATCTGACCCTTAAATTTTGTTCTTCCTTACCCCTTGATTAGTATGTTAACCTTATTTGTTATTTAATGTCGAATCCATTTTTTGTGATACAATCCTTTCTATCCTTCTATGGACATACATTTTCCATATAACTATATATACGAATGTACAGCTTAAGTAAATGATTTCGTCGAAAAGAAAATTTTCTTCGCTGAATTCTCTTTTTCTTATTCAATGACACTATGGGTTATTTTAATTATCTGCAATTTCAATAGTTAAAATCATGAGTCAATTGAAGCTAGACCATCATAGAAAACCTGGAAGCACTAGACGGCCGTTTCGCCCTATTGTGGGACTTCTCAGCAGTATGCATACACGATCCCGCTTCCCGCGAGATCCGAATGTAGGATCTATCAGTCTTGCACGCGAGCGCTTAACTATTAGATCATTGAGCCGGCATCCAACGAAGTTAATGTACAACTTCAATCAATCCACGAAATCGCGTCACCGTACATCGATGTCTTCAGTGAGCTGAGAAGTCCCATACTAGGACGAAACGGCCATCCAGTGGTTCTAGGTTTTCTATGGTGGTCTAGCTTCAATTGATTCATGATTCCAACTATTGAAATTATTAATTAATTATTTTAATATTTGATAATTAATAAAAATAAATAGAAAAATTATGTAAATCGATAAGTTACAAAATGATTATAGTATATAACAAATTAAATAGTAAAATGTCATTATTACCTAAAATAAACTGTTATATCACAATGAGAATAATGAGTGGTAACTGTTGGGATCTATTTATGAACTAATATTATACATATATTTTTATTTTATAACTGTTAAGTAACTAAACTATTCATATTTGTGTTCCTCTTGTCATAAGCTTTCTTTATACCTATGAACTTTTACTATACGATTTACCATTCTTGAGTTCTGGCCAGTCTATCGATTACTATTTCCCACATTCACAGCCATATCTGGTTAAATCTTGTACAAATGTTATTTTCCGTTTTATGGTACGATGTGGTCTGTTTGGTTGGTATATAAACCCAATATGTTTGAAATACATGATTCATATTGCAGAGGCTGAGATTAGTGTTCTTAAGTTAACAGGCAGTGCTAGGCAGGAAGCAGGACCGATAACAACTCTAGACCGCTCGTACTTGTTTTATGCGTCATTGGTCCGGTCGATAAATCACTGCTCTTTAATTGACGGTATCATTACGTTATATATTGATAGGGACACAAACCCACAAGTTATAAGATAAACACACTTGATATTTAATATTATAAAGTGATCTACATTTGTGAAATAATTATTTCATTTATTTAATAATCAGACTTATCATTGTAATATGTTAAGACGTTCAGACTATTTGCAAATAAAGGGTCTATTTAAAGTTGGAGAACTTTGAAAACTATGATGTCTTGGACAGTTGTTTTCAGCTAGTAATTACTATACCAATAGATCATTTATTTGGAATCCAGTGATCCATGATAACATGTTCGGTACGTTTGCAATCATCACTTAACGACATCAATTATATTTATTTACCTTTTGATACAGCTAAACGCCATTATATATTCTTCAGGTTAGTCGCTAATAAGCACATGGTTATTACTAATCGAGCAGAGAGTTCTCGGTAGTTATTTTATTTAAAGTTAATTTATATACCATGAATTTGATTCATTTCATTTATAAAACTTACCTACAAGTAAAACCATCTATATGAATATTTTGACAAGTTAAGCAACTTTTCATCATCTATATATAAATTTCCTGTGCGAAAGATTTGCACTTAAAAAATCGTTCATTCAGGTAGAGATGTTATAAATAAATACTGAGCTGTTTGCTGATACTGTGTGCTGTTACATTTAAAAAGTTTAAATCATATCATTTATGGTTGCCGGAGATAACTAAATGTCTTTCCCAGGGTTAAGCATGGACAGTTATTTTTATAAAGAGGACCAGAATTACATTTACTAATCTGCATTAACGGTAGTACCGTAGTTTTGAATATTAAACCATATAACTTTATGAATTCCTACTTCACGTCTATAATAGCTCTGTGACACAACTTTTTAAAAAGCCTGTAATAAGTATCTATGCTCGTTTCATTATCAGGTGGCCTTTATTAACTTCACTATTTCTCTAACAATATGTTCTGATGATTTTCTCTTGAGAACTCATGTCTAGTGATTGGTATTTTCATGAAAAATTGTTTTGCTTTGAATCAAAAATGAATTTCTTCAACAGTGCCCCGAGTTTTAACTGACCTTCGAATATTTAAATTTTACCAGTGATCCTTTTTATTGTTGTTATTACGTGGTTTTGATTATCAATTTTCTTCGGCATTAAGCTATTTTCATATACTTTTTAGGAAACTCCTCTCCATGAATTTTTATATTATTTAAGATATAATTATTCACCTATTCGATCATTTTCTATAATTCTTCCATAATGATTTCTGCTTTATCATTCTTTATTGATGTAAACATTTTCAATATTATGATACAAAGTACTAGCACACCAACTTTTAATAATTTAAACTGATAGGTCCTGGATTCTAATATCGCGATGGGCAGGATCGTGGATGCGCACTGCTCAGGAGTCCCACAATAGGACGAAACGGTCGCCCAGTGCTTCCACGTTTTCTGTGGTGGTCTAGCTTTAATCGACTCAAGATTACAACTATTGAAATTACTAAAATCTTCACAAAACCCCTCCTGATTACAAGGAACTGATAAGAAACCATCAAATGAAATAAACTGCTACGTTTGTTCTCTTAGCTCTATCCAAATTTATTAACCAAGCTGAAAATCGGGTCAAACAAAAATTAACATACCTATTTTAAATTTATAATAAATAAGGAGGACAAAGAATAGATTTAACTGCAGCTTTAATAAATCCATGAATAGTATAATGAGCTACAAATCAACCAATTTGTGTCAATCATTGATTTGTTTCTGTAAAATGATTTTTATACTTCAAAGTTAGAAGTTGAACTTAATTAGGTGGATTATGCAACCTTTAGTGGACTGTTTATAGACAAAAATATGATGATTATTCCAGTATGTAACATGTTCACATGATCGAAAAAAACCCAAATACATATATAGTGATTTAATTTATATAGTTTCAGTGAACGAAAAATGAAGGCACAAGTATTCAAGATGAAAATACCAAACAAGAATTTTATGAATCTATAGATGCATTAAACAACACGTAATATCTTAAAAGATGTTAACTTCAAAACAAAGATGTGAAAATAAGTTTCAAATACTGATGAAGGCTAGAAACATCTTAAAATAACTCATCACCAACATTGTGAACTACCGAAAAATTCGTCAAATACAGAAATAGTAATGTCATAAACAACGTAGACCAAGACTTCACAATTCATATCTGGATATCAAAAGTATATAAGCAAAACACATAGTGTAAATAAATTAGTCATAAGGAATACAATTTAAAAAAACCAGTGAAACCGAGTTCTAAATAAATGGCGTAGTGTTCATAAATTAACATATGCAGGAAGATAATGAATACGTCTGTTAATGTCGGTGATCGATTTTGAGCCTTACTATTCAAGATCCCCAAGGCCTGATTATGATTAAGTCGAGGTCCCCAACAAAATTACCTAGATCTCACTACAGCGTAATAAGTAAGTTAAACTGCTGACGACTTTACGAACTGGTACCGTGAGTTGACTCAGGTTTACATAGCTTTCATCTTATTTGCTCCTACCTTAGGCAAAATTGTACGCTTGAGTGTGACATGGAGTATAAACATTACTGAGTCAAAAAAGTGGCCTCATACCAAGGTCCAACAAAATCAATGTGTTCCCATGCTTTACCCGTATTGAAAATATAAGTCTTTTTACTGTATACCAGTTCTTAGCGTAATGAGCTTCATTCACTTAAAATACTACCTAAACTCTAACCAAGTTACAGATTCTCCAGAGCTTCAATAGCTTTAGGAGGGATAATAAATTTATTTACATGTTCAACCAAGATAAAATCATTCAGGTGACTTAAGTAGAGATTCTGGTTCGAAATTCACAATTTCCCAAAAAATATCATTTAATTTACACAAGTCAGGTCGAATTTTCTAATTCATTACCATGATCAACAGTTGAACTAAAGCATATCAAATCAATATCCGAAATGATCCGTTCTTTTTTCATATCTAGAAAAGCATATAATGGGTATTAAAAGGTTGACTGGACGTAGTAAACGGTGGGAGATGGACTTCACGAAGATTTTATTACGGAATAACTTTTAGTACCCTAAGAGCAGTAAATGAAAATATTGTCAAGTTGAAATATTTGACAGAAAATTGACGTTAAACCGGCTAATAACATTTCATGTTGTAATAAACAATGAGATATTTGTTAATATTCTTTGAATTATTATTGCAGACATTCCAGCTATATAAAGGACAGATCTTGGTTACCAGTAGCTGTTACCACCATCTAGCATCAAATCGAAACTGAAGTTTAATCAACTACCGACCGTTTTGCACGAAGAAAAAAAGCACATGGATTATCAGCAACCCAATTAACACATTTTGTACAGAATAATCTAAGACATACTTGTGTGCAATATACGGCCTTAGTTTGGTCTTCAACCTGCTCCTCGTACTCACAAAGCGAACAATTGTCCTGACTAATGAAGCCAGTAAAATTCTGATTTATATCTTTACAAATCCCTAGTTGTTTTGGTTTGGTTATGAAAGATCCGCGGCAATTCTCGGAATTTTCATCTTTAATCATATTCACTTCCCCTTTTATATTCTCAGTAGTATTGTTTATTATCGATATATTCTTTGAAGCGCTTGTATTTGTTTTGTTTACACGTTTATTATATATTGTGGTAAGTACTGCCAATGATCTTGAACCAGTTTGTACAACAGTACATCCATATCCATAGAAATGCGTTTGTGGTGATTGCCGTTGAAATATATACACAGAAGACTTGGTTTGGGTACCTGAAAGTTTGATAGTAAGTTTGATATTTTACCAAGCACCACCAGTCCAGTTACCAAATAAATGATATGTTCAATGTACTTATGTGATTGAAAAAACCTATGAACTTTATGGCATGTGTACTATGGTGACTTTGGAGTACTATCAATTTAAATCAATTATTCAGCAAAATATGATCTTAGTTACCGTAGGCTTAAGTTTGAATAAGTTTGCCAAAGAGTTGGCTATATAATTACTCCGAACCTTGTAAAGATAAGTGACTATCTCAAAACACTGACGAATCATTGTTGTTGCAGTGTGCTACCTTTAAAAGATAAGTTCAGTTGGTAAGCTGTACTGAAAGTATATAATATTATCTAATCGTGGTCAGAAACATGATAACATTAAAAACTTGATAGACAGAAATAACAAAGAAGAATAGCTCCTATTTAAATAAAAGTAGTAACATATTAGGAGTGTCCGTCTATACAGTTAAAAATTACCTTGGCTTTCATATGGCTTTTCTTTTGACTGATGTGGTATGAGCGTAATTGCTAACATTTCCTGCTGACAATCCCAGGCTAGTAAATGCGAATGGTATTTCAAATCCTCTGACATTGAAAACGATTCACCTTCTTTGTTTAACCAAAAGGTACTTGGTTGTGGATGCCAACTGGTCTCCGGTGTTTTTTCTGCCAAAGTGTTTGTGGAACTAAAAAGTTCATAACTACCTATGTAGTCACAGAGATTTCGATTTGACGTCAAATTTGACCTCTGAACGTTAGACAAATATTTGGGTGATCCCATTTCTGTACAGTATTGCCAAAATCCCATTATTCCATTGTTAAAACTTGCTGCCAGAATACCTTTCGTAAATTCCAGAAAAACGGTTTTGATTTTAGACATAATATTGGACATAAACTGCATAAACTAGAATCCTAATACATATGAGCTGATTTAAAACAATTACAGTATTACTTCAATATGTATAGTTAATCCAAGAGTTCATTTTTTCATTGTTTGCTTGAATCTTCCCAATAATGTTTGGGACTGCAATTGATCAGGCTCTTATTGGCATATGTGCATCCCGCGAGGATTGCCTGGTTATTGCCTTGAGCCACAAGCATTTTGAGCAAAGATGGATAGTGGCTAGTAGTGGAATCCAGGATTCAGTAGCTTAATGGATAGCGTAATGGCGTTTGAAAAGAATGGTATGTGGTTCGAATTCCTGAGTGAGCATCATCTCTGGGATGTAGGTATAGCTAGCTGACGAATCCCAAATAGGACGAAACGTGCGGCCTCGATTTCACTGCCAACCACCATCCATCTTTGCCTATAATCAATACATTAGTTTTGCAAACAATTTTTCTAATAACATATGAGACTTTACCTGCTGGAATAATGGGCGAAAATAATATAATATTTGTAAACAGTTTCTTTATCCCTGATTCACTTTGTAATAAAATAAATTAATAGTCATTCCGTCATTCATTATAAAATTACGGCAAACCAGCCTTCCGCTCTTAATCAGTCGATAAATCATAAGGGACCTAAGATCTGGCATATACACGTATAGCCCTACGTTGTCGCAATATATCAGCACAACGGGATAAAGTTATTACAACAAGTGGTAAGGCAATAAGGATATTAACACCATCAACGGTAGTAAAAACTACAATCTGAGAGGAAAAGGTGAATTCCATTCTTAGAAACAATAACCTTGTGTTACAGATAAAAGAGAACCGTCTAATGCTGATACGACGCTTTAAGAGCCATACTTTGCTTTACAAAACAAAACCTTCATGAAATGTTTTCCACGCAAATTAGCATTGTTGTATAACTATTTTTCTTACGCCACCACTGTTTTTATTTATGATACAATTTCAGTTGATTTAATGTTAGCATTAAACGTACTACTGCTACTTTATCTAACTAAAAATCAGCTATTTAGATTTAAAATCGAGATTTTATTTTAACAGCGAAACACAAAAATCGTATATACACATAATAATCTGTACAAATCTATTTTGATACCATACGCTACGTTTTTAGAATAGACATATGTCACAAAAGTAAAATTTGCAACTTACAATATGTTTCCGAGTAAGAAACACTGATCACCTTCAGTTCACTTGTACTGCTTTTAGGAATAAGCATGCAAGGAGCTGAAGTGTAGTTATCGGTTCTTTCGACATCCCATAGTCTAACATTTGTTTCTCCAAGTGCCATAGCAAGCGTAGTTTCTCCAACACATGTAACGGACGGTTGATTGCACATTGCTAAAGCCAGTTTCATCTAAAAGATGTACAAGTATGTTTTTTGTTTATTACCAAAAACAGCAGCAAAATACTTCGTAAAATGCAGGTAAAACTGACCGATAAGTAAGTTAGAATAAGTGCTTTCAATTCACTTTCATCCCGTTTTACATAGAGCATAACGTTTTATTATTTATTTCTTTATGCTGCATTAGCTTAAATATGACCATTCTCCGCAAGTTACCGATTTTGCGGAAATAATAAAATATCTCAAGAAATATTCCAATTTGTGTGAAGCAAATTATCAAATGCATTAAATTACAATCGCATTATAACCACTGTGAAATTACACCATTCTGTCCATTTTTCACCAAATAAATTAAGCAACTACTCTCTATGCAAAATATTATAATGAAAAACCAAGCAAAATCCATGCAAAGTAATTAACTGCATCTATAGACCGTGTTTAAAAGCAAACGCCTTGAGTCTTACTGTCATAGATGCTACCGTTACATATTCATCCATATTTAACCCAATAATTATCCTACAAATTGATGGTTTATAGTGATAGCTTAACGACAGCCTGCTTGTGCAAGGTTCTATACCACTTATCTATCATTTGTATCATGTAGAATTCTGTGTCCGTGGTTAAGAGTGTTTCGAATAGCTTCAGAAGTTTTTTTATACTAGAATAAATCGATGATTTCATGACCAGTTCCGTTAAATTAGGTGATGAATGACCTTGAAGTTGCTATCTAAGCTAATATCTCATATGGTCGCTAATCGGACAAAATATACAAAACACAAGTTTCAAGTAGAAAATTTACATCTAACTAACAATTTCTGTGATACTCAACTAATAACAATTCGAGAACTGTAACTATATGGAGTCTAGTCAGTTGCTATATCTCTCTTAAAATACCATTTAGTCATGGTAAGACCAAGATGGTGAACGTTTCTCCGATAAAATCAATTTCTCCTTATACGTAAACTCATACTTTATTCATATGGCAGTAATTTTTAATAACTATTGTGTTTGATATGATTTAAACCTGTAACATATATGCAGGTAAAAATAGCCTAATATATTATGACAATAAGAATCGTATTACTCCAGATGCAACGGAACCTGAGTAAAATGTAAGATTTCGATTAATTTGAACTTAATAGATTTTGAACATAGCTATAATCGGGAACCTCATTTAAAAACTATACAATCTGAGGTGTTTTCTGAACTTGCATGCATATGAACAATCACAAAATATTAAGATTTTAACGGTTCGAAGGACAAAAAGTACGCTTATCATGGATCATTTTCAGGTGATCATTTAACAATCTAAAGTTCTCAGTTTTCTTGTACATACCAGCATATTCGCAACTCGGATAGATCTAAGACTTGGAAATTCCTGAGTTTTAAGGGTGAATATATTTTATCTGATAGTGAGTGAACAATAAAACAGCTTGATGTGTTAGTATTTCTAAAACCACACTGGACTTTTAAAGAAGTTCTTAGATTAAAGATAATAGTGGCCAAGTAATAGTCTTTATTTACTTTTGTTGCTTCTTTGATGGATATTTCATAGTTCAGCTTGATATGATAGTGATATAAAAGAACTCCCTCAGTGACGGCCAATAAAATATTTGTGCTTTCGTGGGAAACCATATTTAAAATAGATCCTTCACAGCATGCTAAATTATTGGCTTGACTAACTGAAATCTCATTCTCTTTCGAAATATCGTACTAAATGTACATTATAAGTCGTACAGACATTAGCGAGTTTACAAAAAATTATTAATTACAATCGTACCATTAAAAGAGATAGAAGCATAAACACGAAAACTTCAGTAACCAGGCTCCCAAATTTGCGGAAAATTTAGTCAATTATGGGGAAGCTGCTATAATAAATTTTGGGGAAATGAGAAAAAAACTCAAAATTTCCCCAGACCTGGAGAATATTGGGGAAATCCAGCTTTACGTAGACGTAGAAATGTCATTGATAATGTTCTAAAAAATAAATAAATAAATAAATCATTTTTAGTGTATAATAACGTGTCAAGATATGTGAAAGGTTGATGATGTACCAACAGTATAACAATGTTCTTAATAATGCGAACAAAGAACTTACAGTTACGTCTGATAAAGCCTGCGAAGCCAGCTGAAAGGGAAACATACAAGAGACAAGTTGTATCACTTTGAGTATTGATCACAAAGTAATAAGCTGTTACAGTAATTAAAGTACAGTGATTATAGTGATAAATACAATGATAATTAACATCCTGTGAATTTTGGGGAAATCCCCAAAGTGAACTTCACTTATTGGGAATACAACTGAATACTGAATTTTATTAAGTGGTATTAATCAATATACAAAAGAGTAGGAAGGGGAACGAGTAGGAACAATGTGTGACAAAGTTAATATATGTATTATAACAAACATATTAAGTAGTTTTAGCTCACCCTTTCTTTGGATCGCCATCCACGTTTATGTACTTTATCTCTTGCGTCATGCAAGAAGGCCTGGCTTGCCGTAGCCATGGCGTGTATTATTTCCTGTTCCGGGCAGCTTGCACTTCCGAAATGTGAACACAAAGCACCTACAAATATGTTAATACAGTAAAGTGGACTTACTTTGAACCGTCGAGTAAAATTTGTACTTACTAATACCAAATTTACTTCTGGTTCCGTGCAAGGTGTACGTGTTTGCCAGTTCCGGAGAAAGGAGGTATTTCAGACAGGCTTTTCCTGATTTCCGACGATCATCACATAGTACATGGTATAATCTTTCCATCTATAATTTCTTCAAACACCGGTTACAACTTACGAAATGATCCCGGAATTGTTTGTTCTCTAAAGCTGTCTCTAAAGAACGCAACTCGTCATGCGTCCGTAATGGGAAAGTGATTGCATCACTATCCGTATCTTCCATACGCCTTTCACTTACACCCATGGCTAAGCGTTCGCTTACAGCGATCAGTCTGTCCATCTTGCTAGATAGTTCAGTTACCGCTTTTAGGATATTTCTGAACATGTGATGTATATCATCGCTCAAACTTTTGTTATCAGGAATAAAGTAAATGCAACTCACGGTTTATCACCTTCAGTCGACGTACGTAGAATTGGTGGTGATGAAAGGTCAGCTTTCGATGAACTGATATATGAGTATTGATAAAGTAGGTAGAAACCTCGCAATCGGAGAAAACGTTCCTGTTGAAATGTTGACAACTGAAAATTCCACCGGGGCAAATCCTGCCTCAACCTCAGCAACCTCTAGTTCTTCAGAGGTGCATAGATAATCCTTGTGCTATCGTTTGACAGCCCAGGCTCCCAACTTTGGGGAAAATTTAGTCCATTTTGGGGAAGCCGCTATAATAAATTTTGGCGAAATGAGAAAAACACCCTAAATTTCCCCAGACCTGGGGAACTTTGGGCAAATCCCCAAAGTGAACTTCAGTTATTGGGAATACAACTGACTACTGAATTTTTGTAAGTAGTATAAAAGAATATACAAAACAACAAATAAACTATGCTTTCGTCTGTTAAAGCCTGCGAAG